GGCAAAAGTTTTAGAATTTGTCACCATGATTAACTTCTTATTGGGAATTATCACCACTTATATCTCGGATGCCGCTACGAAAATTAATATTCCTAATTCCGCTTAGAGTTGGTAAAGAGGTAGTTAGTCTCATCGACTTCAGGGATTCGAACTTTTGATTTCATGATAATAGGAAACAAAAATTTTTCCTTAAAGGGTCACTAGACTAGTGAGATTCTTGAAAGAGTGGATAGCTAGTATCATTGTTCATAGTGGACTAGCACTTACCTTTCCATATAATGAAATGGGTCGGCAATCTAGTCTTTAAATCAAATTATTGTAGTTTTGTAAGAGTTAATACCATTATTCATGATCATCCGTTCCCTCCAATTCACATCTACTTATTATAGCCAAAATATAGGTGTACTCAAAACTTAGCCATGATATCTCACAAACTATTTTTGCAAGATACCATTGCCCATGGTGGCTCAACAGTTGAAGGGTCACACTGTCTTTTATGAAGTTAAAAGTTCAAGTTACATCGTGAGCGAAGCTCTGACTAGCTTGTACCATAGCCTGCTAATACCAATATTCAAGATCATTTGTTCCCTCCAATTCACATCTACTTATTATAGCCAAAAAATAGATTTACTCAAAATTTAGCCATGATATCTCACAAACTAATTCTGCAAGTTACCGTTGACCGTGGTAGCCCAAGGGTAGAAGGGTCATACTGTCTTCGATGAGGTTATAAAGCTCCAACCAGCTTGTGCCATAGCCAATGAATACCATTATTCATGATCATCTATTCTCTACAATTCACATCTACTTATTATAGTCAATATATAGGTATACTCAAAATTAGCCATGATATCTCAAAAACTAATTTTGCAAGTTACCATTGACCGTGATAGCCCAAGGGTAGAAGGATCACATTGTCTTCCATGAGGTTATAAGTTTGAGTTACATCGTCAGCGAAGCTCTGACCAACTTGTGCTATGACCGAAACCGAACATTTCGTAATGGACGTGAGATTCTTATGGTAATATCGAGAATTGATAGTTGCGCTTTGGTCCTCTCTCCCAGCCCTTTTAGATAAACATAACTTTGCAGGTTTTTATACTCCCTTAAATGTAAGGTTATCAGGAGTGTTCGCTCTCTCTCTTATTGCACACACGCATAGGTGTGTGTCATTTTAATAGTTCCTTACAAACCCTAGGGAAGATCTCACTCTGATTAATGTCAAACCCCTAGTTATATTCTCCCCCATGAAGTCCAAACAACACTCTTGTCTTCTACTCCGAAAACTAGCTGTCCAAAAGAGGATGAGAAGTTGAGCTCCAATATGGACGCTTGACCTCGCAGTCGCACACAACATAGGGATGTCCAAAAGACAAATAAAAAGCCAACCCGATCTATCTGTTCATGTCCTCGAGGGCGCAAGCTTTTGGTGTATAATAGTTGACTTATGGTCTCTTCTGTCTGTTTTCCATGAACTCCCCTCATCGAACTTAGACATGCCAATGTGTCTTGTGCCTCTTTTTCCTCCCTCCTTTATCTTCTTTTTCTTCAACAACACTTATCAGCATCTCTCTCTTTTGCTGTCAAGAACGACATGCCGATGCGTCGTTCGTCCCTTTCTTCTACTCCTCCCTTTTTTTCTTGTTTAACATTAATCTGCTTGCGCCTTCAACATGCACCGCCTTTTGACTTTGGAGGCGAGATCTTGATAATGGAGATTTCCCATGCTCGGAGAAAGTGGGAACAAAGTGATCTCCCAGACCCAACAAATCATGACACGTTAATGGGTGTCTTTTGATTCCTTTGAAAAGAAAAACCCCATCTCTGAGGTTAAAACGAAAAGGAAATAAAGAAGGGTCTGATGATTGCGTTTGGTTTTGGTCTGGTTCAGCTAATGGGACTTGAGCCTCGCTTGTGTTATTAGAGGGATTTTCTTCCCTTTTTCCTCCGACTTTTCTGGTCAAAAATTTCCTCCGTTGTATCTTTTCATCCCTCCCCTCGAAAGATTGAGCGAGATTTGTGGCCAAAATCTCTCTGGCCGACCCATCGTAAGATGCACTTGAAAAAGCAGAATTCTCTCCTTTTCCTTGGGCTTGCAAACTTGCAAAAGCAGATGTAGCTGCTCCAATGAGTTTGGCATGTAAGAGAACTTAATATAAATGATTATATCGAGGAGTGCTTTGAGAAACTCGTTTTCGTCAGAGCTTTACTAGCATAATAGTTTTTTGGGTTACTGCGAGAGTAACAGCATATTGTGAGTCACAAATTCTTGAAGAGTAGACCCCATAACAATTTCTAATCATTTCTTATTTATTTTTTTACCCAAAATAAGCTGTTAATCTTGTAGTAGATTAAGGACAGTCACATATTCATTTCTCTTCCCGTTATGTGTAATTAACTAGAGAGGTTTCAGTTTTCGATATATTGTTGATGCACACCACGAGAAAATTTGATGTTTTGAAACCTGTAATATTTCCTTATTTGATTGTTGAGTAAGTCGTCTCAACATATTCGCTGAAAAAAAATTATTATTGAAATATAATAATTCGATCACAAAGGATTCCGTGGAGCATACATTTATTACATCAAACCATCAACCGAAAAAACTTACCAATTAATGCGAAAATTGTTCAAAAAGTCCTATATTTATTGTACGGTGGCTAATTCATTTCTAAGCATTTCAATTTGGTCAATTTAGTTATCATCCTTTTTACGATTATCCAATGTAGTTTTTTTCCGGCCAATTTTGGCAGAGATCCCTAACATGGCGGTTCAATTAGCGCTGCATGTCTTACGTGGCACGGGTAGCATTTCTTTATGTCTTTTCTCTCTTTTTTCCACTGTTCATCTTCCCGGGAGGGGGGATCATAGTGGAAAAAAGAAAGAGAAAAAAATAAAATACAAAATTATACAAAAATTCAAAAAAAAAATAAAAATACAAAATTTGTCCATATCAGTGCGGGCCGTGCCACGTAGGACGGCCACAACTAGCGTCCACATCAGCAATTTCTGACCAAAATTGATTGAAATTACTACATTGAAAAATCGTCAAAAGGCTTAGAACTAAATTGGCCAAACTGAAAAGTTTATGACTGAATTGGCCATCGTACAATAGGTTTATGACTTTTTGGACAATTATCATCCAATAAGTACGTCGGATTGACTTTATGGTTCCAAGAATCAATTAGTGTTCCTAATTTATTTGAACGACATAAATAATCTTGTATCTAAGATACACACTTTATTTTCACTTACATTTTTCCCTCTACATCTCGCAAACTAGAAAGTGCCTAGCTGGGTTTGTTTTAGTCTAGCTACTACATTCTCACTACAACTCTACTATCACATCCACAATTATCCTTCCTAAGTTTTCCAACTTTTTCTATCTAGCTGAGAAAATCCCAACCCTCAATCTGACAATCTGATCAAACGAATTGAGTGAAATTTGGACGAAAATGCCAAAATCCCTCAAAGGTGGTGCCAATTTCTCGATGTTGACTCTAGAGTGGATTTTGTCTCAATGAACCCTCATGGAAAAGCGCACGTGAGCGGCATGAGGACTTGAAATTTTCTAGCCAAAATGCCCTTGGGAAAGGCGAGAAAAGCCACACGCGATGAGCACATGGTCGTGAACCTACCTTAAATTATACCAACAGTGAGATTAGGGAGCTCATTGGAATTGAGTCGTCGCATTAAGGGGTATTTTGAAACAAAATCCATTCGATGGGAAACTTTAAGAAATCAACGCCACTTCAGGGGAATTTTTGGAATTTTCCCACGACAATAATAATATCATACAAGACGCAATGCGTTGACCTTCCGTGATATAACCTATCAATATACACATTTTTTCTTGTTAGTGCAATAGTAAGATTGGTATCTAGGTATCAGGCATTCCATTGAATCCATCTCCTTTAATCTAGTTCACAAAGGCACGCTGCACCATAGCCTAAGAACTCACGATTAAATACTTTCTTGTATGTTCTTCTCAAGTTCTAGTAATTTGACTACTTAATTGAGTTGAACTAAGGTTGAATAAATCTTACTTGAGTAGCCTATGAGCTTGATCGACTGATGAAGCTTCATGAATATAATGAAAAGCAAAGTTTCTTAAAACATATCTTTAAGCATTCAAAATACGAAACAAACTAGAGTTCTGGTTCGATTTCAACTGAAACTTCCCTTGTAATCGATCGATTCAAGCTCCGATCGAGTAGCGAGTCGTGTATAGGAGCCGGGTGGAGCTCGAGCATTGAAATGTATGGGACCCGACTCGTCCCTACGAATAAGCGAGACGATGAGAATTGCAAACTCAAAACAAAAACATAGGTAGTACCCGGTTATTACAGGGCCCCAGTTTGAGAGCCACCTTTTAAGCCACGGTGAAAGCCAACGAGATTAGACAGGAGTTTAACGCGGAGGCTGTTTTTTAACCAGGTGCTCGCTTTATTCCTCTTACTTCATGTTTCACCCAACATGCATGGCCCATTGCTTCAGTAAAGAATCAAATTATCACTGGACTTCTGGTGCACTTATCGTCCAATTTGCTCTCGCAGATTGAACAGGGAAAGATGCCAAAGGGACGGACGAGGCAAAAAATGGGCAGTGTCGCTTTCTCGTACAGGGCTTTATTCTGAGACAAACTGCATAAACCAGGTGGGAATGATCCGACAATTTTCTTTTAAGTACTCATCAAACACACATAAGATGACAAAAACCTCAATTCACTGATTATTGAAGCCACGCCCGACTTCACCAGTCATCCCACCACACCATGCTTCTCTGCTCTGGTTCTGCTTCTGGAGTAAGACAAAGCTCACCAGAGAGAGACAGAGCCAAACCAATCTTGTCTCCAACACAAAGAGCACGTAACATCCTGAATACATCCGAACTTATATTCTTCATGTCTACCCCTTTTCTGGTAAAGCATGACAAGGCGGGTGTGGAGATAGTTCACCAACAATCACTCCACAAGAAGATATCAAAGCATGAATAGTAAATTCAAGAGAGAAGACTAAAAATTTTGATTATTCAACTGAAAGAAGCATGCTGATCACAGGAATAGAAAAGCAACAATCTTTAGGGTGCTTTCTTGTTTCTCTTCCTTTACCTTAAACCAACCACCAAGAACAAGACATAGAGCTCAGGCATGTGTTGTTGGAGGGTGAGGTTTACACAACAAATGAAGCAAAAATTTAACACCACTAACCAAAAAAGGAACGCCTTATGGAGAGACCATCTTTTCGTTTTCCCCAGCTCAATTCAGTACAATCTCAGAACGCTTCTTGCAATGGATTGGGCCTGATTAGCCCTGCTCTTCCCGGATCCGCTCCTCCGGCTACCCCGCATCGGAGTCAAGTAAAACCTCAACAGCCCGTTATCGAGGTTGTTGGGCGAGTACCTAGCGCTGCGATTCCGCTCCAGGACGAACTCGTCCCGCTTCTTCTTGCCGTTCTGTCCGTTCGTCTCGAACACGCTCTTTCTGATGCTCCCGAAAGATCCGCCAACAAGATGGTTGTAGGACGAGTTCCTGCAGCTCACACTGCTATTGCTCCTAAACACCTTCCGATTGAAGCCGCCCCGTAAGTCCCCGTTATGCTCGCCTCGCAGCTCCGGCCACGACTCGGAGAACGACCTCTCGACCCCGTTCGATCTGCTGTACCTATCGTCGTTCTCATCCTTGTTCCCTCCTCTCCTATGTATAAACCCCCAAATGCTCCAACCCTTGCCCCATCTCCTCGATTTCTTCAACCCCTTTGGGTCGCCATTGTTCACACTGGCCGCATTGTCCCTAAATGCAAGATCGAACATGTCCGAGCAATCGTCTCTCAGCGAGTTCGAATTGGAGATTGACTCCCTCGACTCTCGATCCCCGACAATCGGTTTGCTCCCTTGGAAGTAATCAGCAGTAGCAGGGGAGACTTTCGCATTCTTACCAGACTTCAATTCATCGATCTCCGCCACCACTGCGGCCGCCGTCTTCCTGATGGAATTCGACCGGTCGAGGCTCTTTCTCCTCCGAGAAGACGAGTCCAAGTAGTAATCGCGGGTTTGTGCCGATCCACCAGGGAGGGACGCCTCCTCATTGATGCAATTCATTGGCTCCTCCACCGGAATCTGGGTATCGGTCCTCGAGACGTGAACTGGAGAGTCCTCCACGACGGATACCATCGTGGGCATCCGCGGGAACGACCTCCCAATCAAGTGCCCATCCCATGAGGCCCTCGGCTCGTCGAATGAGTATCTCGGGTCGTCGAAGGACATCCGCGCGGCGTCAAAGGAAATCCGGGCGGCGTCGAGCGAGAACCTGGGGTCGGTGTCGCAGGATCTCCGGCCGAACCCATAATCGGCGATCTCGGACTGGGTTTCTCGGAATTGGCGGCCGATGGGCTTCTCCACGGGCAATGTGGCGGAGCCACTTCCATTGTCTCGCTTCTTCATCTTCTGCTTCCGCCTCCAATTCTGCCATTTCTTGCTGAAGACCGAAGCAGCAGACCAGAAGCTACCCGCAATCTCCTTGAAGTCTCTCCCGGAAGATTTCTTAGCTTGAGAATCGAGATCTATGTGATCTTTCATCGTCTTCACCTCTTCTTCCGGCACTACTTCGAGCTCTGGCTCAGCTATTTCTTCAATTTCTACTTCTTCCTCCTCTTCTTCTTCTTCTTCTTCAACAATCTCCTGCACTCTGTTTTCGACAACAACAGGTGCTGCTACATTGGGCTCTTCCCAAGCCCTAATCTCGTCGTCTTCCTCTTCCTCTTCGTCCTTCTGCACGGTGTATTCCTTGCTCTGCTGATAATCGCTTCCCGCTTCCGCGTCCTCTTCTTTGGACTCGAGAACCGGACCCCGAACCACGCCCGCCGATCCCAGGCTCTTGGCCTGGACGCCCTCGGAGTTGCTGCTCCGGGTGGAGTCCCGCTTCGACGACGGGTTCCGCTCGTCGTCGAGGCTGAACAGCGACCAGAGCGTGTTCCGCACCCTGACGTCGCAGGACTTCCTCTGCGGCTCGAAAATGCCGGAGAAGAAACCCTCGTTCTTGGACGCCGAGAACGACTTCGTGCGCCGGAGCTCCGGCAGGAAGGCCGAGGCGGACGCCGCCGGGGCCGGGGGCTTGGAGGAGTTGGAGGAGCTGGAGCCGGGCTTGAAGATGGCCTTAAGGGCCGAGGCGGCGGCGGAGGAGGAGGAAGGGGGCTTGCGGGAGGAGGAGGAGGAGGAGGAGGCGGCCGGGGCCGGGCCGGGGGCGGGGGCGGCGGGGGCGGAGGAGGAGGAGGGGTCCAGGACGGCGAGGCGCTCGCAGAGGCATAAGGGGCAGAAGCCGGTGAAGCGCTCGTCGGGGTGGCGGTCGCAGGAGGTGGAGGAGCGCGGCGGCTGCGGGGGCTGCGGCGGCTGGAGCTGTGGCGGCAGTGGAGGCTCCGTCGTGGGATTCATAACCGGCGGTGGTGCTTGGTCCCCGCTCCACCGCAGCTCATGTTCAAGCTCCTTTCTTTGGGGGGTTTTTCCCGGAAGAGCACCCAGACGCCACAAGAGAGAGAGAAAGCGAGCGAGAGAGAGATAGAGAGAGAGAGAGACGCAGAGAAGGAGGAGGAAGGAGGGGGGTTTTAGCTTTTTAGAGAGAGAGAGAGAGGGGGGGAGAGGGAGACAGTGCGGGCGTGTGAACTGTTCGGGGCTCCAACGGACAGTGCGGAGGAGGAGGAGGAGGAGGAGGAGAAAGAGAAAGCGAATTGTCCAAATAATGATAGAGATGCAACGGGTTTAATTAAAAGACAGAGAGAGGATTAAGCCCCTCTTTCTTTTCCATTTTTATTGCATCTCTCGTCCTAATTTTACAGCTCAAATCAATGAACCTGACCTAATGCTTGCTAATCTTCCTAATCAGGCTCCGTTTGTTTCCCGGAAAAAAATCGATGATTTGAAAAAAATTATTTTCTCGCAAAAATAATCGCTCGTGCCATTTTATAAAAATGAACGAACGAAAAATGCATTCATCGTTTCGCGGAAATGTCCAGATGTAAATTGTTATCGATGAAGAAAACATTTTCCATTTCTAATTATTTTGAGCGATACAGGCGATCATTCTCTGAAAAATGTTCTCCAAATCATTCATTTTCCACGAAAGAAAACGGATCTTTAGCGTGCATTAGATATAAACTCAGGTCACTCGATGTATGATGTTATTGATTGGAGCATGGAATTTCCATACCAGCTCATCAATTTACCACTCTCCAAGTCATTTTCCAAAAATGAGATTTGCTTAAACTATGATATCTGCGCTCCGTATTTCTCGTTCCCAATTCCAATACTTGAACTCGTAACGTTGCACAAATCATCTTAAGGAAAAAAAACATAATTAAAATCGAATACTTAATATTTTAGCATAAAATACAACTTTATTTTAGCATAAAATACAACTTTATTTTAATGTATCATTAGCTGTAAAAGGTACACGTAAAGTTAAATTACGAAAGGATAGAGCAAGTATTTGCGTATCATACGCCATACATATTATTATTATTATACAATCTCTTAAATACATATAACCGATATAAGCTTTTGCCTTTTAACTAATATAAGGTAATCTTAATTAAGATTATCTCATCATTCTAAAAAAAATTTCCTAATACAAATTAGTTAAGATTAAATAGTATAATTATGAAGAGAGAGAGAAGAATAATGCGGCACTAATAAATGTGTACATACATGTTTTACCATTTTCATGGAGAAAGCACCAAAAGCTTTTCTTAGGCGGCACACTTGAAATGGCACTTTGAAAAGATTTTCGCGTAATATATTTATACATACGTAACAATAAATGACATATCAGATGGCAACGGAGTTTGCTCCTCTCGTCGTGATCATAGGTGGAGCGCTTGATAAGCAATAAGACAGATCGGGTTGACGAGGGAAACTGCACCCTTAAGATCGCCCGGAGAGGCGGGCTTATCGAGGAGCACGGAAGCCGTCCTAGACACCAATCATCTAGGGGTGTGCATAGTTCCAGAGTAGAATATGGAACTTGAGAATTTGGGCGGTGAGAATCTATAGGTTCTAGATTTCAAGGTATGTGAAGTAGATTTTAAGTTCCAAAAATTGGAGAACCCGTGGAGGAACCTTAAACCTTAAACAAGTTTTTTGTGTTTTTTCTTTATCTATGTCTTCGCGTGATTATGCGATGTTCGTGGCGTTAGATAATGAAGCGTATAACCTAGAACCACCAATCCGAGCTTTTATTTTATTAATTGTTAATGTTTCGTATTCTTTATGTATCTAAATATAATTTGTGCTTAGTGAATCGTAACAGCAAGTTGTGATCATTAAAGGTGATGATTCACCGTAATTATTTAAATAATAATACAGGTGGAACCTGGATAAGCCCTCGAACCAACCCCTGCCCTGTTACAAGGTTTCAAAAAAAAATGAGGAACGTATTTCCATGTGTAGGTTCCAAGTTCTAGGTGAAATCTATACGGAATTCGGAACCGCTCACCTCTACAATCAACCGTTGTATCGAGAGGAGGAATCATCGTATGCATGTATTTTCACTTTTATTTTTTAGAAAAAGAAAATCGTCAAATGATACTCTTTTTCATTTTTGTCGCTAAAAATCATCGAGTGATTCTATGATTTATTAAAAGTGGGACTTAAATGAAGAGAGAGACTCTCTGTCTCTCTCTTTCTCTCTCTCTCTCTGTATCGGTGGGTGCCATTGAGAGTTCATTTTCTCCGGGGAGCTTTTTCCTCCGCTCCTCGGGCCGCCCGCTGGGTGCGAAATCCCACTTCTGCCCCTACCGTTCCCCCCCCCCCTCCCTCCTTTCCCGGAGGTCAGTCGTGTCAGCCTTCCTAGGCCTCCTCGTAGGGGGTGGGGGGCCCTTGTTTGGAACCGGGGTTCACTCTATCCTCTCTCCGGATTAGGATGCTCTCCGCCCGGATTTAGATACCTCGTCCTGCTATAGCCAGGAGTCAACGAGGGCAGGGTCTCTTATTATGTGGTAAGGTTTGGTAAGTTGGCATAGATGCAAAAGGCGGAGAGATAGAGAGAGAGAGAGAGGGAGTGTTATTCCTCAAGTCCCGTTTTGATATCCGCTACTTCTTTTCTTTTTTTATCTTTTCAATTGTTATCCTTTTTCTTATTCTCTTTTTTCCTCTTTTTATTATCTATTTTTCTTTCCCAATGTGACATTTGGCGGGTGCCGCATCAGCGCCGCGTTTTTCAAGAACATAAATAAATAAATAAAAACAGTTATGCCGGCATTTTCTGCTCGCCAAATTGGACGGAGCTTAAGGAGGAGCTTGATTGTAACCAATTTGACCGGTTTTAGAATCCAATTGCTAGGGGATCGATTCTCGAGTGGGTCGATTTCCATCCTGGAACCGGTAACCGGACTAGAAGGGCCGGTTCCCAGTTTGTGGAATCGGGAACCGGCCCACTTGGTCCTAGAACGGACCGACCGGTCCAATCCAGTTCGCAATTGGGTCCAAGAACCAACGGTGCTATCTTTCTTCTTCTTCTTCTTTTCCTATTCCCTACACTACAAGTATTGTTGCATAATCTTAACTCTCATTCTTTGGTGCTTTGGATCTCTAATCAATGGAAATCTTGGTGGAAAGACGCTAAAAGGTGTGATAAAATATGATCAAGTATCATTAACTTGCTAATAAAAAAAAGTAGTATCGATCTGGTCCGAGTGGTTTGGTCCACTGGAAATGGGAACAGGACCGACAATGCCCAGAACTGGCTGATACAGTCTGGTTCCAATGCTCATCCCTAATTGCACTTTTCAAAAGTTTTAGAACTCGATTACACTTTCGTGACTGATTTGAAGACTTTTGGTGCATGTATCCTTGATTTTAATGGAACTGCTTTTGTGAAAGATTGTCGTTTTAAGAGGGTGAACAACATTAAAAACAGAATTGTAATTCATCCGGAAGAATGATGGAGTAAGCAAAGTCGATTGGAGAGCATGAACGTTGATTTGAACGTAGTTTTATGCGACAATTTAGAGTCAATTTACTTGTCCATCACAAATAACATGATCATAGTGCATTTTTTTTCAATATATTTGAAAATGTAATAATAAGAATGAGAGATGTTAAACTTTTCATTATCATAATGAAATTATCCAGCATTGAAGTATTGACTTTCAAACAACTTGAATTCCATAGTCGGTAAGATAGGAAATAGAAGTAGCCAGCGTCGCGTGTATCCAAGAAAGTGACATTCAAAACATTAAGTAAAATCATCTCGTCACATAGTATTTGAATCAACGTGATATTTGTTCATGTAGTCCCTAAACTTCCGTTCAATCTATTCCTTAAACTTAAAAAAAAACATATCACATTCCATATAGTCCTTCCGTTAAATATTATAAGAATTTTTACTAAGTAACTATAATCCATGCTAACTTGACCTTAGATATGTAATGTTGGCATCCACGGAGCTTACATGTGGCTCCCACGTCGCGAGCGCTCGTACATATATCTTTCATTATATTGACCCAGAAAGAAAGATAAAAACAAAAGATTTACGGACTTGAAATAACGACACGGGAATCCGCGTCATTATTCTGACCCGATAAACGATTACGTTACGGTCCATATCCGAAGAAGCACGCGATACACTTAACGGTAGGACCACATTGATGGGACGTTCGAAAGTTTGGAGATTAAATTAAGAAGCTCGAAATTCGGGAATCACATCGAACATCGAAGAAAAAAGCAAATAATAATGTGCGGAGAACCACGAAAGTCGAGTGAACGACAAGTTTCTATGAGGTGGGACTAGCCTGGAAGTTTCACCTATATAGATCAGACAATATTGCAAGATCGAACGTGTCCCTTGGGGCATCGAAACCAACCCGATGGACACATTTGGGTCGACAAGAAGAGAAAGGAAAAAGAAAAAGAGAGAGCCCCTCACATTGAAATGTTTCCCCCCTTTTTTTGACCTTTCCTCTTTTTCAGTATATTTTCTTGGGTTTTTTTTTTTGTGTTTTTTTTGTTTTTTGGGGAGGGGGGTTGGTGGTGATCTTGGGAGGGGTTTTCGATTTTCAAAGATTCCTGGCAAGAGGAAAAAGCGAAAAAGCAAAAGTCACGCCATCGACTGGGGGGCTGTGTGTGTGTTGTCTTTGCCGGGTGCTGCTTCTCTCTCTCTCTCAGTCACACTTCGCTTTCCTTTCTCTGTTCCTTTCTCTGTTCCTTTCTCCCTCCTCTCTCTCACTCTCTCTTCTCCCTACGCTTTTTCTTTTTCCTGTTCGTGGGCTTTCCTTTTGTTTTCAGGCTCTCCCTTTTTCTTCCCACATCGCAAAGCCAACACCAAAAAAAAAAAGGAAAAAAAACGAAAACCCCCCAAAAAAAAAATAAAGAGATAGGAAAAATTAGGGGGAAAAAAGAAGAGAGGACAGAAAGATATAAAGAGGGATCATTTTTCCCCCACCTGGACTTGTTTTTGCATCAACAATCGAGTATGAGGGCATGGCCCAAGTCGTGTTTCCATAGTGGGTGCACATTTAGCTCCGGTGACC